CAAAGATGATATTGGATTAGTGACTTTTATAAAATAAAAAACTAACTATAATCTGTCTTCTTGAACTCTCTGATTAGGGACTAGAAAACTCTTACCCAGAGAGACCACGTCCCTATGGTTTTCAAGCATGACTTCCGAATGCAGCGCTTTTTGATCAGGATCCAGCTGAAACCATTCCTCCTCAGAGAAATACACAGCCACCTCCTCGAAAGACACAAGACTCTCCTGAACACAGAAAAAGAACAGGAGGATTTGCAAGACCTGTTCATCTTCATCAAAGATTTAGACAAGAGGTTAGAAGCGCAACTCATCAAATTTGCAGAGAAGACCAAATTGATAGGAATACCAACACTCCACGCTCAATATATAGAAGGGTCGACATATTGGGCCTGATTTAACAAAATGAAAAACAACATTGAGAAATGTAAGGTTCTACATTTGGGAAAGAAAAACCAAATGCATGGGCATAGAATAGGTGATACCTGGCTCAATAGAAAGTGCAACTGGGATTTTAGAGTCCTAGTGGACAATCACTTAAATGTGAGCCATCAATGTGCTACAGTTGCCAAAAAAAAACCCAACAGAATCATAGGCTGCATTAAGAGAGGGAGAGAATCAAGACCACACTTGGAATATTGCATCCAGTTTTTGTTGCCATGATGTAAAAAAGATTTTGAGACTCTAGAATACAAAGAAGAGCAACCAAAATGACTAAAGTCCTGGAGGCTAAAACATATAAAGAATGATTGCTGGAATTGGGTATGTCTAGTTTAAAGGAGTTGGGGCCAGGGTGGATTGCTGGGGGTTCATATGGGTTTGGGTGATCCTCTAGCTAGGATTCTGCCCAGTTCAGAAAATCCCCAAATGCCACCCTAGGCTTGCTCTGCCCACCCCGCCCCTCTCAGGAGTCTCCACGTGATCTGTTCAGCATGTCAGCTAAGTTCATGGCCAGTTCAGACGATCGGGGAGTGGGGGACAATGTCTTACCAAAGGTTCCGGAAGTCCAGAAATAAGCCTGTTTCAAGCCTCCGGATGCAGGGGAAATCACTTTTTGCCTGCCCTGGGGCTCAAGGAAAGCCTCTAAATCCTGGGGAGGGCAAACCCCCTTCCCGCCATGGTGGTGGAGGCCGACTAGCCACACTCACCGAGCAACAGGGCATCAAACCTGGCAGAAGAAGATAACCAAAGGAACCTATGTTGGCTGACAGCAACTTGAACCTGGTATTCTGCTGTCCATGTTGTGCCCAGTCCAAACAGGGGGTAGGGGGGTGGGGAATAGAAGAAGGAGAGAGCACTCTCCACACCCACTTCATTTCCTGAAGGGAGAATACAAATCTAATAACTGTTCCCTTTCTTACTTGATTTGGAGATTCAGCCGTTGCTTGATCTCCATCAGAAAAACCAGAAAACTTCATTCTTTTTTTCACTATAAGGAATAAATAATTTCAAAATGCATAACTACCAAAATAAGTAGTATTCTATAGAAGAGAAGAGAGCGCGAAGGTAAGATAGATGGGTAATCTGAGGATCTTCCATTACCTCCTGAGGTGTCCTGACTTTGATCTTCCCAAGGGATCCTCCTGAAAAATAACTCCTGAGGGGGATTTGATGGATTTTTCTTTCCCTCAGGATCTCTATTCTCCACACTGCAGCACTTCAAATAGGAGGAAGGAAAAAAGAATGAGAATATATATCACATGACATAAAGTGGATTCTTATATCAGGAACACAACCTCAAAGCCCCAATATCCATCCGTGAGGTTGAGTGAGAAAACAATGGAAGAATGTCCGACAAGAATTGGTGGGACATTGCCACATATTATGAACGTCAGAGAAGTTTGGAAAGGAGGAGTAAAGTATTCACACACATTCTTTATTCCCTTTTGAGCTCCATAAAGTCTCTCACCTGCAACTCAACCTGCTCCTTTGGTTCCACCACCTGGCTCAGGAGGAAACCTTCAGCCAAGGCCACCGCCTGGGAGCTGGTCTCTGCTCCACACTCCCGCACCCAGCCCTCCATCTCTAGGGGCAGAAGGAACAGGAGCTGCTCTAGAACAACCAGGTCCAGCATCTGGGCTTTGGTGTGTTTTTCTGGTCTCAGCCATCGCCTATAAAAGTCATAGAGCTGGCTGCAAAGACCTCGGGGACCTTCAGTCTCCCAGTACTGGATGAACTGCCAGGGCTGAACTTCTGAAGGGAGGATGGTTTCCACCTCCAGGATCTTCTGCCCAGTCCTTTTCCAGAGCTTCCCCCCCTTCCCAGGCTGAGCAGCTGAAGGGCCTTTTCTGCTTCCCTCCTTGGCAAAAGGTTGTGTCTCCATCCTTTCTCTGTCCTGCAGAGCAACTCCAAATGGGTCCAAGAACTCTGGTGAGTCTCCAGATGCCTTTTTCTTCACGGGACCACTTCTGGTGCTTCAGGTTATTCTGCTCTTTTTTTCCTCCCCAAGAGAAAAGTTTGGCTTGCAAAGAATTCAAATGGCTTCCAGTTTCTGTATCTGAGATGGAAAGAAAAAG